GGGTGTTTAACAGACATATTTTGAGGCCTATAATAATTTGACATAAAGGACAGTTTTTGCTCCTTGCCCTCCTAGGTCGACTAGTTCTAGAGGGCTATGAGAATCTCTCAAAATGTCCTATAATTGCGGTGGGTCACCTGTCCTTTTGATCAAGGAGGCCAAGGAGACCCCACCAGATGGACTTGAACCAGTGTCCAGTCTACAAAGAGGAGGGTCAATGCAGAGGAATCATTTCCTCCATGCTTCCACACGAAGCCAGCCATGGTCAAGTAGGACCTTTGATTTATCTTCACACAGGCAGAACTGGTAAAAAAAAGGAGCCAAGGGCTCCTCCCAAGCTCATGTGACCCCTGAGGAACAGATCCTCAAAGGACCTTAAGAGTAAAAATAAATTAGTTTATCTGGGCCAACTGTATGGCCTTAAATACCCAAAAGGAAAGTATAACCAAAGAGTAAAGGGGCCAATATAATTTTTTGAGTCCATATGTATAGCTAAAGGCTACATAACAAGAAATAATGCCAGACAGGACACACCTTCCTTTGAGTTGTTGGTCAGGGTGGCCCAAGAGACTCCCAGACAGTAACCCAGTGTAGAACTGTGAATGGCAGACCCCAATCTTATCTAAAGGAATATTGGCAACTGATTGCTGCTAGATGAGGAACAGCTGACCTTCCTAAAACAAAGACCTCTAGATGGGCTGACTAGATTCACCAGATGGACAAATAGTGGGGAATTACTGGGGGTGCTGACAACACAGCAGATAGTAGCACGGATATCAGAGTATAAGGGCTCTAGTGGGGGAGGGAGGCTATGGGAGGGTGCCATCTGGGAAGTGGGTGTATAGTTGAATAAGATGATTTAGGATGTTCTGTGTGATATGCACACACAAAAAATCAACAAATTTTAAAAAATGTATTTGAGGAGGAAGCATGGAAATCTACGTCATGTTAATCGGTAGAGGTGATAAATATTACCATTGAAATCAACCCAATGACTTTATAGACATACACAGGCGCCAAGGATCCAAGTGCAACCGATTATGACTAGTAATAATCAGATAGATACAGATTAGAGATGCATGCGCCAACATCTCAGTGTTAGTAGCAAAAACAATA